AGGGAGGCGGCGGACTCAACCAGGTCGTAGCGCGCCAAACCAGGCGGTCGCGGCCTCCTGCCCAAGCCTCGTCTCGCACCTCTGGCGCAGCGAGTTGCAGTTCGCAAGAGCTTTGCAGCACTGGCGCAAGGCCCTGTTTGGCTAACGTCTCGCATGCGACGTTCGCGGCAGCTGCTGGGCGCCTTATCCTCTACCTCTGGGCAGTTTTTTTTTTGGGGGGGGGGCCGAGCAAGCGCGAGATCCGGTCCAGGTATGCCGTAAGTTCGCCACCGCCCAGCCACATCATGTACTGGAGAATGCGAGTACCAGTAAGAGTTTTCGGGCCACTCAGGATTCGGCACGGTAAATTCCCGCTCTTTTGAATTCCAGTTCTGGCCTCGATCCTGGGAATCGAATCGACGTTGCTTGTGAGTTAGAACATCAGCTTGGCTTCGTGGTAGGCTATGCAAGGTCTGTCATTGCTGGTTCTCAAAGCACAGAGAAAGTTGGCAGGACTGGGTCGCTAAATCCCTCGACAGAAGAGGAGCGAGCCCAGCGCGTCGTTTTTTGCATGGGAACCAGAGGCTTTCGTTTTTGGAGGTGTTCGGTCTAACAGTGTTCAGGCCCCTCTCGGTGAGTACCCTAGGGCCTATGACAAACTGTGGGAAGCGACGTCCGAGCCACATCACCGCGCAGCTGCACAGCCAGCTTTGCCGCTTCCCTCAGTTGCTGCCGCGCAGGACATCAGCAAGACCTACTCGACCAGGTCCGCGGTCAGCCTGGGCGGACTTCATTGTAGGCATCTGTCACGTATGACAGAAATGGGGGTGCAAGTATTTTATCGATCTCTTGGGATTGTCAGAATGTCTGGGAGAGCTCCCCCCGCAGCTTCAATGGGTTATCATGGCACTTTTGCCTGAGGCCTCTTATACCGAACCGTTGGCATAGTCAGTATGTTCTATCGAGTCTCTGGAAAGATCAGAATTCCATATGCCAGATCATGGGTGGAAAGGTTTGACCACCCTTGGCTCAGCTGTGGACCTGGAAGGTCCCTTATTCACGTTGTCTAAAGGCAGAGTGTCAGGAGCGAAGCATCCAGGGCCTCCGGCGAGGCCGCCGCGCGCCTCCATTGGGACCTGATTTCGTTTTGCGCGCGTTTTGTGTGAGCCAAGTTGCTTTCCAGAGGCTTAAAGCTAGGTTTCAGTCCTGCTCTGTTGCAGTTCCATCTTGTTGCGCATGGCTCTGCGAGGCTTGTTGGATACATGCGAGCAGTCTCGAAGGCCCTGCGCGCGTTTCGTGGCATTGTTGCGGGCTGCTCGGTTGCCGCAGTGTATGTCTGGATCTACTTTTTCCAAGATTTTCTCAGGGCTACCTCTCTCAACTCGGCCATCCACGTCGGTTTCTGCCCGGGCGATTTCTCTCGTGCGCCGCGCTCGGCGCGAGCGCGGACGCGCTTGAGTGGCTGGTTCAGGCCGCCGAGCAACTTGCCGCGATGATCAAGGATGAACTGGGCGCCACCTTGTCGGTCGATAAGTGCTCTCTCGTCACCTCCTCGGCAGCGCTCGGCAGGGGCGCCCCGAAGGCCTTGGAGGCTTGGGCGGGGAAGCAGCAGCAAATCACTACCAACCTGGGGTCGGGCTTCAGAGCGGGTAAATATGCCGCTGTTTCTAGAGACACCACGAGGGCCAAAATAATTCAGAACGTAAAACAACGGGCTGTTCGATTGAAACAACTTGCTCGTGTCGCTGGACAGGAAGCTCGCAAAATGGTCACCCGCGGGTTGCTGCACTCGGGAGCGTTCGCCCCTAGTATTGAAGGGCTCTCCAACACCTACCTCGAGAGACTCAGGGGAGGTGAGCTCTCGGCCACAGGGCCAGAATGTGAAGGCCAAAGCGGAGCTGTCATTGTCGCTTTGCATGAGTCCACGGCTGATACGTGGTCCCTGGCGCCTTAAGTCCGTTGGGCCCAGGAAGTATGGGCTGCAGGTACGGGCGAAGCCGCTCCCATGAGTGCCTTGGGGGCTCTGCAGCTTAATGGCTTTTGGGGACAAATGGGCCCCCGCCCTGGGCTCAAGCGCAATCAAGTTCGAGGACATGTCACAGCGGCAGCACGCTTTCTCGACAGGACCGGCTGGTCGTTTCAAGGACCCCATCGTGCTGCGCGCGCACGAGGGCAAGCTGTTCTCGCTCGGTGATGTCTCGCCCAAGCTTCTGGAGCACTGGCTTCAGGACTCGTGCGCGAGAATGTGGGGAATAAGAGCAGCTACGAGTCTTAGTCGTATTCAGGACGTTCCCAGGGTGTGTCTGGGTGTGGTCCGCGGGGTTCGCAGTGCTGCCGGCAAAGGAACGCTCTCTGCGGGACAGGCGGCCCTACTGAGGGCTGTAGCTTGCCGAGCTTATTGGTCCACTAGTAAAGCCTCGGCTGCAGGTTATGTCATTCAGGACTGCTCCATAGTGTGGACGTGCAGGAGATGCGCTCGCGCGCAGGCCCCTCCACTGCCAGGCCGAGGATGCTGTCGCACTAAGAAGTGAGTTACTCCCCGCGGAACTGTTCGCAACAGGTCTAGAGAATGCTGAGCATAGTTTAGTGTTGCTGCGAGGTATTATTCCTCCCCCGTCCTCCGACCCTGATGCCTTCCCTCCTCCTGCTAGCGAATTTGCCACGCATGTTAAGATTGTAGGACAAGAGGCTCCGGGGTATCAGTGTAAACTAGGGCCCCGCGCGGGCTCAGAAGGCGCATGCACCAGGTCTGGCCGCAAGTGTTTGGAAAGGGCTGCCTGGGCGGTCTGTGGGTTTTCGGGGGATGAGGAGCTCGAAGTCATTACATCCAGACACCCCGGGCCGCCGAGCACTTAGGATTTTTAGTTTTGCAGCAAATGTTGACCCAAGAATCCATTGCATATGTAAATTGTAAGGCGGGCCTCGATGGATATCACAAGCCACTAGCTGCTAGACTCCCACGCCACAGTATGTATGCAGCACATGTAGGACGGCCCTGGGTAACGACAGCTGACACTACTTACAAGCGGCGGTCAAAGTCAAATCTCACCAGAACGAAGATAAGGGTCGGCCTGAATATATGTTACCGTTTCAAGTCAACAAGAAATGTGATCAGTTTGCTAAGTCGGCCGGCCCTCCATCTGCGCCCGTCGTTTGACCCGTTGTCGGCATCGTTGGTCTATGAGATGAAGGAGGGCGCCGCTAGCATTCTGAAGTTCATCCCCAAGATGCTGGAGGCATGGCCCAGGCATCCTAGGACTGAGCGGATACATAAGTCCGATCAGTATAAGACCCAGATCCAGCTAGCACATGACTGGCAACGAGCTGAGCATGTTGCGTGGAGATGTGCTGTTTGTTTCACTTTCAGCCATTATGATGATGCCGTCTCTCGGCGGCGCAATGAACCAGGCACCCTTTTTGTCCGGGCGAGTTCAGAGAGCGCTTAAATAAGGTGCCGTCCTCTCACGCCCTGTCTGCTGGCACCTGACGATGGCCTGTTGGTTGTCTGTGCGAGGTGCGGCAATCATGCAACTTTTGTTTTCAATGGCCCTCTGGAGGAGTGCAAATGGCCGCCAAAGAGTGGCAATCTATACGCAGCCCGCAAGAGGCTGCTCGATGGTCTGCATCCCGCACTCCAGAGACACCAGAAGGCCAGAGCCTCCAGCTCCAGAGGCTGAAGGCCAATGGGTTCGCCGACCTCGGAGCGGCGCACCTTCTGCCCACAAGTTTAAAAACCATATCCTCCCTCCCCCCTCCTCCCCGTCCCCCTTAGTCCTCTCTTTTCCCTCCTTCCCCTCTCCCCTGTCCTCTCTCCCCCCCTTTTCTCCCCTCCCCCTCCCCCCTTGCCCTGCTTCGCGCCGGCGACCCCAGGCCAGCTTCGAGCGCGGACGTCGCGAGGGGCCGCCCGAGAGTGCGGGGGGGTGCACCGGCGACCAGGACTGGCGGCGTCTGGGGGCCGCCTCGGGAATCCGCGCGCCTCGTCGTCGTCGTCGTCGTCGTCGTCGTCGTCGTCGTCGTCGTCGTCGTCGTCGTCGTCGTCGTCGTCGTCGTCGTCGTCCTCCTCGTCCTCCTCCTCCTCCTCCTCCTCCTCCTCCTCCTCCTCCTCCTCCTCCTCCTCCTCCTCCTCCTCCTCCTCCTCCTCCTCCTCCTCCTCCTCCTCCTCCTCCTCCTCCTCCTCCTCCTCCTCCTCCTCCTCCTCCTCCTCCTCCCCCTTTTGTCTTGCGTTGGCCTGTTCCTCTTCCTTCTCGGCAATTGCCGCTTCAGGCTCCGACGTCTTGTTGGCGAGGAGCGAGGGCTTTGCACAAGCAAGGACAGGTTGAGGACGATTGGGAGGAGGAGGCGGAGGAGGAGGAGGAGGAGGAGGAGGATGAGGCGTTGGAGGAGGAGGGGGAAAGAGGATGCGGAGGAGGAGCAGGAGGAAGAGAAGGTAGAAGAGAGGGGAGTGCGGAGAGGATGCGACAGTGGAACATGAGAGGGATGATGATGATGATGATGATGATGATGATGAGGAGGAGGAGGAGGAGGAGGATGAGGAGGACGAGGAGAAGGAGGAAGAGGAGGGTGACGAGTAGGAGATGGGGAGGGAGAGGAGAGGAGGAGTGGGGCGAGGAGAAGACGATGAGGGGGAGGGAGAGAAGAGGAGAGGGTGAGCTGTGGAGCAGGAGGAGGAGATGGAGTGGAGGAGCAGGGGAGGAGTAGAGGAGTGGGTCTGGATGGGGAAAGAGAAAGAGGAGGACAGCTAAGGAGAAGAGGAACAGGAAGTGGAGGAGGAGGAGGAAGAGGAGGAGGAGCATGAGGACAGGAAGGAAGAGTATAATGATAAGGATGATGATTATGATGGGGAGGGAACGTGGCAGGAGGAGGAGGAGGAGGGGAGGGGGGGAGGTTCAGGAGGATGAAAAGGTGGGTGGGGGGAAGGATGAAGAAGATGAGGGCGAGCTCTTTACCACGTAGACCTCCCAGTCCCTCAGGAGGAGCGCGAACTCCGTGAGTTCCGCCACAAGAGGTGCGTGCTGGGCAACATGAAGCTCATCGGTGCCCTGCTGGTGCGCCGAATGCTTGCTGGCAAGGCCTTGTCCCGCCTACTCCTTCATCTTCTCACTGTCCACCCTCCCCTGCTCTTCCCTTTCTGCCGTCTCCTCCTCCTCCTCCTCCTCCTTCTCCTCGTCCTTCCCACCCCCTCTCAGCCATCCTCTCCCGCATCCGTTCTTGTTCCTGCTCCTCTTCCTCCCTATGTTGTCCCTCCCCCTCCTTCGTCTCCTCTTCCGTATCCTCCTCCCCCAGCACCTCGCCTTTTAGGTCATCTGTTCCTATCCTCCCGTCTGTCTTCTCCCACCCCCAGCTCATCGCCTCTTTCATCCTACCCCCGCGCCCTCCTCCTTTCTCCTTTTTCCCGCCCTCTCCCCCAATCCACTCTCTCCCCATGCACTTTTTTTTTTTCTCTCTCTCTCTCTCTCTCTATCTCTCTCTTCCCCCCCTTCTACCCCATCCTTGCCCCGCCTACCTCCTTTCCGCACCCAGGCGCCCGACGATGTGATTGCTTCCAGCCGCGACCCCCCTCCCCGGGACGGCAGCCCTCCGTTCCGGCGAGTATTTTTTTCGGATGGCCCTTGGGGGCCCGAGGACGGCCCCCAGAGGCCGCAACGGCGGGAGAACGCTGGGATTGAACGACTCGGTGCAGGAAGGGGAGGGAGGGACGAGGAGAAGGAGGAGGAGGAGGAGGAGGACGAGGAGCAGAAGGAGGGGGAGGAGGAGGAGGAGGAGGAGGAGGAGGAGGAGGAGGAGGAGGAGGAGGGGAAGGAGGAGAGGGAGGGGAGGAGAGGAGGTGGGCAGGAGAGGGGGAGGAGGAGGAGGAGGAGGAGGAGGAGGAGGAGGAGAAGGAGGAGGAGGAGAGTGAGGAGAAGGAGGAGGAGGAGGAGGAGAATGAAGAGGATAGAATGAGGAGGAGGAGCAGGAGGAGAACGAGGAGGAGGAGGAGGAGGAGGTGGAGGAGGAAAACGAGGACGACGAAGGCGAGGGTACGATACGCACACCGTCGGCACCATGCTGTCTGATTTGATTGTCAAGTGAGTACTGTGCTCGTTATCTTGGAAACATCGCGCAGCAGCGGGTCCTTGATAATACACAAGACTGACTGGAGGCAAGTGGTGCGGTGAACCTCTGGCCCTCAGACGAGGACGAGGAGGAGTAGGCGAGGGAGGAGGAGGAGGAGGAGGAGGAGGAGGAGGAGGAGGAGGAGGAAAGTGAGGAGGAGGAGCAGCAGGAGGAGGAGGATTCACATGAAGGATTCGCCAGCTGCCGTACACGCGGCACATATCACTGGACCCCAACATCATCGGTAAGAGTTGACACCAACCCCGACGACCCTGGAAGTCCAGCGACCCGCTTCCTCAGACCTGGACGAGACCGTGGGGTGCCCAAACTGGGAGCACCGCCGCCCGTCCGCCCTTGTCGATGGGCGCCGCGGCGATGACCGAGACTTGCACCTGCTCGTTTCACCTGGCGGCCTTCAACATGCACAGGCCCATCTGCTGGGCCTCGGGGCCGAACTCGAAGACGGACTCCGCGGCCATGCGCTTGGCCTCCTCAACCTTCGCCAGCTGGTCCCCAACTGCTGTGGCCCTGCCCGTGAAGCCCACGAGCCGCTCGCGCGCCTCGACCGCGGGGTCCCGCTCCTTCTCCTCCAGCTGGACGTCATGCTTGCACATCTGGGTGGCGACCACCACGTCGCCGGTGATAGGGACCTCCATGGTCTCGCCGCCCATGCCCACGCCCCCGTCTTCGTTCGAGGCGGTATTCTGGGCGCCGCACTTGGGCACCGCGCCGCCGCCCCCACTGCCGCCGCTCAGCTTCCACCCCGTTCTTGGGGAAAACCTCCGCGCCCTCCCCGAAGAGGCCGTGCTCCGCGACGTTCCGCTGCGCCTTGACCCCGCCGTCGATGACGATCGGCGAGTCTCTGACCGCCGCCTCGACCTTCGCGCGAAGGACGGGCTTTATCAGCTCCCCGCGCGCCTGGACCTCCTCGTCCACCTCCTTCTCCTCCACGAGCGAGCTGCAAGCCTCGACGCGGGCCGCCCGCTTGAGGACCACCGTCGGGGCCGCCAGCGAGCGCCGCCCGCTCGCACAAGCACGCTGAGGAGTGCCGCCGGCGTCGCGTCGGCCATGACCGCTTCCAGCTCGAGCCAGGGGCGAGCAAGTTCTGAGCCAAAGTGGCTATGGAACAGGAAGAGGAGTAGGAAGAGGAGGAGGAGAAGGAGGAGGAGGAGGAGCATGAGGAAGAGGAGGAGGAGGAGAATTAGGAGGAGGACAATTAGACGGAGGAGGAGGAGAAGGAGGGGAGGGGGAGGGGGTTAGGGGAGGGAGGAGAAGGGAGGAGGAGGATGATGAGAAGGAGGATTAATACCAGGAGGAGGAGGAGGACGAGGAGGACGAGGAGGACGAGGATGAGGACGAGGAGGACGAGGAGGAGGAATATGAACGACGAGGATGAATAGGAGGAGGAGGAAGAGTGCTGCCTCTGCTCTGCTCTTCACCCCTTGGCTTTCTCGACCTACTTTCGCCACCATGCGCTTTGACCGAGGCCCATTTAGGTCACCCCATTTAAGTCACCCCCCGTTACACCCTATTTGGGCTCTTCACCCCCCATTTAGGTCCCCCCGCCGTTACCACCCGCTCGATTCTTTCGGCGCCCCACCCCCGAAGGTCTTCCTGGCGATCCTGGCCGAGCTCGTCCACGCGCCCACCCAGGAGGCCATGGAGAGCGCGGCGGCGCTGCTCACCGTCGCGGGCGGGTTCTTCGACACGCGGGACCTCGCCTCGGGGGTTTGGGGGATCGGCACGATCGAAATGGGTACGGAAAGAATGGATCTGCAGCACCCCGCAGTTGCGGATGAGAGTCAGGAGGCGGGCGCGGGGTGGGTCGCGGGTGGGTCGCGGGCGAGTCGCGGGTGGGTCGCGGGGTGGGTCGCGGGTGGATCGCGGGTGGGTTGCGGGTGGGTCGCGGGTGGGTCGCGGGTGGGTCGCGGGTGGGTCGCGGGTGGGTCGCAGGTGGGTCGCGGGCCGGGTCGCGGGCGGGACGACGACATCAAAAAACCAACAGCAACAGCAGCAACAGCAGCTGCAGCTGCAGCTGCAACAACAACAATCCGCACCGCGGAAGCCCACTTCAGCCACGCACCCGACTGGTCGGCCCCCTCACTCTGACGATGCTCAACAGCCGCTCTTGTCCTTTTTGGACAGGATTCGTTGCCGGTGTCGCCACGGACGGTGTCCATTTGATACAGAAAGCCGCCTGCCCAACAGCGGCCGCTGTCGGTTTTGGACAATATTTGTTGTTTCGACATCGTGCCCATTTTTTCCGTGCTCATCTTGGGCGTCAAAAGGGGAGGAGTCAGGGGCCACGTCAGGGGGGTGATGGGCTCAGGGGGGATAGGCTCAGGGGGTACGACGGTTCGAAGTTCTAGGTATTCGGGCGTTTTCGTCGGTTCTCGTTGATTTTCCAGCCTCGGGATGCCTTCCAGCGGCTGCGCCTCGCCGAGAGCATTCGAGGGGTGCCCAGATCCTCCCGAACGGCCGCCGCAGATTTGTGTAAGGCATGGCTGGCAAATCATCGGGGGCAACGTTAGCGGGGATGCGCTCAGGTGGGGGTGGAGGGGGGGGGATCCGAAAGCCAGGGTGGTTTCCATCAGCTGCGCCTCGTCGAGGGCGTTCTGCGGGGCCGTCATCGTCTTGAAAGGGCCGCCGGAAGTCAGAGTTATGACCTGGGGACAAAGATGCAGCGTTTTGGGGGGAGAGGCCCACGGGGGTGGGATGCATCGACCCCCCAGTCGCCCACACATCGCCGATCTGGGCCCGATCATTCGCCCGCCCCGCCCAGGAGCGTGTGGAAATTTGCTGCTGGAGGTCGATCGCCGATCTGTCGGCGGTGGATCGGATCGCCGATGGTAGGTCGATCTGTCCTACCCTGAGCTGGTTCCCCTCGAAACGCTGCCCTTCTTGCGAGGAGGAGGAGTAGGAGGAGGAGGAGGAGGAGGAGGAGGAGGAGGAGGAGGAGGAGGAGACGGGGGGACAGGACCCAGACCGCCTCGCGTCGTGGACCAGTCAGGGGCGCTTGAGGCCGGCATGATGTCCAAGGCTGGCCGTTTGTCGTGACATGGGCAACAAACACGCGGCGTCCGAGGGCCCTCGCCAGGCCCTGGGACCGTCAGGGCACGACGCGGGATGAAGAGCTGGTCCATGGGGTGAGGGTCGGGACCCGTGGCGGTCCGCGTCGCCACAAGATCACGGTCTCGGAGTTACTGGGAGGAGGCGGAGCAGGCAGGATACGGAGCAGCAGGAGGATGAGCGCCGCGCACAGGGCGGTGGCGCGAGAGGAGCGACCGTCTACTTAGGCGGGCGGTTCCAAGAGGGCCGGGGCTTCTCAGGAAGGCCTGCGGGCGTCCGGGTAGAGGCGCATGCCAAGGAACACCCTGCGCGCCCCCAGGGTGCCTTGGGTTTCCTGGGTTTCGATGGCTTTTTGCGGTGGAAGGCGTGACGTCCCCACACCGAGAATTTGTCAATGGACGTCCTGGGGTCTCAGGGTTGGGCTTCTTGTGGAAGGTTTCTTGTGGACTGGCCTCCGCTGCAGGAAGGCCTGGGGGCGTCCGAGCAGAAGGCCCCGAGAAGCCCCTCTGCCTTCTGAGGAGGCCGCCCCCCTCTCGCGCCCCCCTCCTTGTGCGCGCCACCGCGGGAGGACGGGGAGGCGCACGGGGATCCACAACTTTTTGACTCGGCGGCTCGGCAGGGGACGTCCTGCGCTGGCGTTGGGTGCCCACACGGGGATGCAGTGGGAGCGAATTCTGCCGCCATGCAGTGGTCGCGCACCGCAGCGGCGCGCACGTCGCGCCAGGGGGGGGGGGGGGAGCAGGGCCTGCGAAGGGCCGGACGCGCGCAGGAGGGGGCAGGAGGAGGAGGAGGGGAGGAGGAGAAGGAGGAGAAGGAAGAGGAGGAGGGGAGGAGGGGGAGGGGGGAGGAGGAGGGGGAGGAGGAGGAGGAGGAGGAGGAGGAGGAGGAGGAGGAGGAGGAGGAGGAGGAGGAGGAGGAGGAGGAGGAGGAGGAGGAGGGATGGGTCGCTCCCTCGCGAGCGGGCGGCTCTGGGAACGGAGACAGTGCCATCACGCTGTCCTCGGGAGATTAGGACGCCTGCGGGCCGCGAGCCCTGAACCAGGCGACAGCGGAGCAAGCGTGGTGGCTACGACAGCAAACATCACCGCGCCCTATAGGCGCGCTTCGGCCACCAGTTTCGACTTCGGCCCCTCGGGCATTCAAGGAGTCTGCCCCAGTGTGGGCGATCAAGAAAAGGGGGGGAACGGGAAGCGAGATGGAAGGGTGGAGGCGGAGCAGAGGGAGGGGCACGAGGACGGATGGGCAGGAGGGAGATCATGGACGAGGAGGCGGGTAGAGAGGAGGGGGAGGAAAGAGGGCGGCACGAGGTGGAAAGTGTGATAAGGAATAGGATGAGGTTGGTGAAGGAGGGCCATGATGAGGCAGGAGGTGGAAGTTGGAGGATCACATGGGCGGAGGAAGAGGCGGAGGAGGATGAGCGGGAGCCGGGAGGGGGAGGCACAGAAGGTTGACGTGGATTGCATGTTTCTGTCTCCGTGCTGGAGAGCTGCCGAGTGCAGCAGTAGTTCCGTGGTACTGTACACCAGTATCCCAACGCGCGCCGAATGATAGGATCTACGTTTGCAATGTGCGTGCTTGACTGTGCTTTGGTCAAGGGCAAATAACTCGGCTGCCCAGTGTGCCGTACGCCCACGTGCGTTCAGCCTTTTGGAGGCAGTTCTTGGTGCCGCAGTCTGTTCTAAGCTAAGCTTTTGATGCCCCAACCTACTTTAGCTTTGATAGCCGAAATAATTTCGAGCACGAAGTACCGAAACTGGGTGCTTTCGCGTGCCGGGCCCTAGGAGGCGACACTCGTTCGACACAGTTTCGATACTTTTTCTGGGTGCTGGAAATTAGTTCTGGGATGTGGCCCTCAATCACGATGGGACCAACCTGATCCTAAGCATCGATCCCGCTTGGGGGGGAGGAGGCAGCACGCCAGGTGAGCCGCCAGCACAGCGCACCATACGAGGCGGTGCAGTGCACGTGCGCAGTGCGCCCATGAGTGTGCCGAGTGCATGGTGGCACTCCGCCCTGGGTGGGCAGCACGAGTGGCCCCATACTGTGCCTGGCTTGCGGAGGGAGCTTCCCAGGATAGGGGCTGGCAGCTGACAAATCGTTGAGGAATACCTGTTTGGATACCACGCTCAACTCTCACACTCACCACCTGTTGAAGAAGAACAGTATGATGGTGATGACGATTATGATGATAATGCTTATGCAGATGATAATGATAATACTAATGATGATGATGATGATGATGATGATGATGTTGATGATGATGATGATGATGCTGATGATGATGACGATGATGTTGATGATGATGTGTTGATGATGTGTCATCATCACCATACTTGAACTCATTATCATCCTCATCATCGCCATCACCATCATCATCACAGCATCACATCATCAACATCATCATCGTCATCACCTCACGCCATCCCGTCGCCAAGCTGCAGAGCTGGCCGATCCAAAACCTTCGTCTGGGGTGCGAGAGGTGGGACGTCTAGACGCTTCGCGTGCCCCCACCCGCCTGTACAGGAAGGCTGCTCGGGCGGTGCAGGCGCTGGAACACAGACGGGGGGTAGGCATCCAGCCGATGCCCGGACTCAGCCTGAGCAGCCATGGGCGTCAGCCGTACATACCTTCTCTGATCGTTCGATGCGGGAGTTTCTGGGGAAATTCCCCGGGCCATCGTGGGGTCCCTTTTGTTGAGGGGGGGGTATGGTCGAGACTCTCGGGGCGGCACCTCGGAGCGAAATGGCGAGACTGCAGCAGCACTTGCTGTTGCTGAGGTGTTGCACGCACCATTGGATCTCGGGGGTCTCCTTGCGACGCTGCGATGCCAGTTTGGGTCGTCTCGGGGTGGTCCCGTGCCATCTTGACGTCCTATTGTGGGACAGATTGGGCCCTATCGGGCATGCTGCGCCAACTTGGAGGGCATCATGGGCTGTTGGAAGCTGTCATGGAGCAGTCTTGGCCCGAAAGCCTCCCCAGGATGCCCCCCGATACTTACGCGTGCCAAGGCTTGTCAAGCACGTCATGTGCTCCCGTTTTTTTTTCTCACCATCCTGTGGTGTTGGGCCCTCGTTTCGAAGAGACAGCGCCCAGCGTCCTCGTCTTCTGTTCTCTTCCTCCTCTCCTCATCCCCCTTCTCCCTCCTCCCATCTTTGCTTCTGCCGCCTGCATGTCGACCATTTCGGCACCATGCCGGCACACGCCTCACACGTTTCGTGCCCCCCGCAGGAGCTCCGCCGCAGGCCCCAGTGGCAGTGCCTGCCGGCGCTCCCCCCCACCCAGTGCAGCGTTTCGTGGCCCCAGCGGGAGCTCCACCGAAGGCCCCAATGGCAGGCTCCACGTGTGTCCCCCCGCCCAGTGCTGCGTTTCGTGGCCCGCAGGGAGCTCCACCGAGGGCCCAAGTGGCAGGGTCCACATGCGCCCCCCGCACCCGGGACAGCGTTTCGTGGACCATCGGGTGCTCATGTCGGCGCACCCCTTACACGTTCTGTCGTTCTACTGGGAGCTCCACCTGAGGCCCCAATGGCACAGTTCTCATGTGCTACACACCACCGCCAGTACGGCACACCCCTCACGCGCTTCGTGGCCCCATAGGGAGCTCCACCGAAAGCTGTAACCACAAGGCGGTTTTCACATCTGCCTATGGTTGGGTCCTTCGCCAAAATATGTTGGGGGGGTGAGCGAAGGCGGCGGCGCCGAGTCGGGCCGCTCTTCTTGAGCCCCACACGTCGCCTCTTAGGGAGCCCTCTTTGGGCGATCTCAGAGCGCATGTGTGCGCTCCTGGGGTCCTTTGGGGCTCTCGTCGGGGCCCCTCGTGAGGCTGCCTGTTGCCATCCTGCGGCCGTATGAGGCGTTCCAGGCGGGGCGCCGCCTGCGAGGATCGAAGGATTGGCAGCTCTTCCTCGGCGGAGGGCCGGAGGAAGGCCGGCGGAAGGCGGCGGAAGTAGCATGCGGGCGGTTCCGCTGGCGGAAGGCGGGCGGAAGCCGGCGAAAGGAAAGCATGCGCCAACAAGAGACGGCGTTCTTGTTGGTGTTCAGGGTGCCGCCGCCTGGCCCCGCTCTGAGCGGGCGCGGCTTCCGTCTCCCTCCCGCCACCGCCGGGCGCCTCCTCCTCTCTCCCGCGCGCATCGCGGCTGAATTCGCGTGCGCATGCCCTACCAATGCCTTTCCGCCAGCGCAGTCGCTTTGCCCAGCCGCCGATGCAACAAGGATTATGTTCAGGGTTTCCAGGGCTGGCCACATTGATCAGGAGGGGAAACAACACGCAGACACAATGAATCGTCGATTCCCAGGGACCTATGGAAAATATGGGAAGTGGGGGGGGGGAGACGAAAGTTCGAAACATATGAAAACATTTGGGGGATCTATATTATACATACATGTCAGTATTTTTGTGTATTTGTTTGTTTGTCCCTGGGCCCCCCTCAATTGAGGCCTCCAGGGCTCACCGGAAGCGAAGAGCCGAGCACACAGCACCCAACGGTCATTTGTTCCCTGAGGTTTGGGAAGGATGTGGGCCTCTTGGGTGCCTCCTTGGCAGGCGACTCACATGAACACTCAGAGCCGTCCGCCTACGGGGAGCAATGAAAAATGGTCGCGGGGCGCCCGCGCATGATCTAAGATTTTGCCGCAGCGTGCATATGGCATGTGCTCTTGACGGGGATTGTGGGCTTGCGCGCGTGGGGCATCATGCTTTCATGCTTCCCTTTTTGTTTCGACAACAATATAACATCGTCACGGGGCGCCCGAGCATGACCATGTTTTGTCCAAGCGTGCATTGTGAGTTCTTGTTGACAGGCATGGTGGGGGGTGTTGGCATTGGCATGGGATGGATAGGGGCGGCTGGAGTGGGGAGTGTCAGTGTGAAAACCCTCTCCGACGGGGAAGAAGGGAGCTGGACGATGAAACGCTGGCAACTCCCTACGTAAAACACATCTGCTCTAAAGGGCTGAGGGGATTCTAGGCGCTCGCGATCTGGCGAGCATCACTGCTGCTGTACAGCCGCTGCCCGCCTCCGAATTCGTGCAGCAACTATGCCGCGGCCCACCAAGGCATGTACTTCATGCTAGATAGATGTCACGCGTCTGTCCTGCCGTGGCCATCGACTACAGAAGCGAAGAGCAGTCCACTGTCAATGCGGACGTGCCCCTCTCGTACAAGGAGGTCCTGCGTTTGTCGAGCTGGGTTCTTCTTTTTTTCTGCACCCCATCCGTCACATACCAGCTGTTAAACGGAAAAGGAGGTCATGCCACACAAGTCGAGCCTCAGGAGCACTTGCGGATTTGCCAGGTACTCGTTGCGAACCGTTTGCCGCACACCGTGCCGTGCCACCCCGTGGAGACATCTGGGGCAGGTCTGGGGGGCCCAGGGTGCGTCGCCTTCGTGTTGGGCAGAAGCTCCCCATCCAGTCCTTGCAGTCAAGGTTTCCTGGTTGGGGGCAGGAGGTGGAGGACGAGAGTGAGATGGAGGGGGGCGAGGAGGAGGAAGGAGGAGGGAGGAACAGGGCAGGAGCAGTAGGGATGAGGTGTGATGAACACCACTGCGAGCGGAAAAAAACCTACCTGGATGATCTGGCCCGAAGGCGCTTCACGGTGCATCTATAGCTGAAGCCGAAACCAAAGCTGAAGTGCACAGAGAATGGAGAGCCCACCCTACAGGTTTTGTCGACAGCACATCGTTGAGCGGTGCTATAGCCTCCCCTGAGCACAGCCCCCCCCCCAGAGCATCAGCCAGACAAGTCGAGTTTGCATCAGCCAGACAGTCCCAGAGGGATAGTTGGAGGGAGAAGAAGAGGAGGAGCAGCAATGATGCTGCAATACACCTTCCTGGATCAATTCTTGTCCTCATAAGTTCCTACCAGCTTTCCTGCTCACTACAACCAATGCGCCCGTTAACCGCCAGCACTCGGTGGGCTTGCCATTCAAGCGAGATCGCCGTTAAGCAACAACCTTGCGTTCTTATGGTGGGCATGGCGGAGTGGACACGGCAAGATGATACAGCTCAACGGGCTGTCCTGCGAGATCCCTTGTTTGAAACATGTCCGTCCCCATCTGTGTAGTTGTTGCACACGCGTGCGCACCTGGCCGCGCATGTCGAGACAATCTCAAGCGAGAGCCCCATTTTGAAACGACCCCCACCACCATTCTCGCAATCGTTACGTCGGTTTAACCCTCTGGCCCTGTAGGTTTAAGGAAATCTCAAGCGAGAGCCCCATTCAGAGCATGATCCGTCCTTGATCCCCGTAAATAATGTAATATTCAAAGAAAGGGTGTGTGCGGCTCTAAGGCACGAGCCCTCCATCTATGTAGATGGTGCAAGCCTTCAAGATGAATGCGCGCGGCGTCAAGGCGAGAGCCACATGTTGACTCCCCCCTCGATCCGTGCAGCTGCTGCAAGCTTCAGGGTAAATGTTTCCCGAGTTCAGGCGAGAGTCACATCTTGATTCCATTATCTGTGTAGACGCTACGACTTTCCGAGGTTCAAGCTTCATGATCCGAAATGGTGGGGAAGCCCCAAACGAACGATTTGCCCGCCCTACCGGCACGTCTCGGGGTGTGGCAGAGCGGAGTTAGTTATACGGAAGGGGGTGCAGGTGGAGGAGACAAGGGAGGAGGAGGGGAATGAAGAGGAGGAGACGAAGGAGGAGGAGAAGGCGAAGGAGAGGAAACGACAAGGATACAACGAAGGATGGGGAGGAGGAGGAGGAGGAGGATACATAGAAGGATGTGGAGGAGGAGGAGGAGGAGGAGGAGGAAAAGGAGGGGGACGAGGAGGAGGAGGAGGAGGAGGAGGAGGAGGAGGAGAGGAAGAGGAGGAGGAGGAAGAGACGGAGCATGGGGGGAGAGGGGGATGGCCAGGAGTGGACGCACCACGCGTGCCTCGACGACATGTTCTCCCAGCTGCGGTCGGTCGCCGGGCGCCCCTCCTGTTCCGCGCGCACCAGGTGCCTGCTGCAGGACCCGGGGGGCAGAATACTCCACGACAGAAGCGCACGGCAGATCCGTGCCGTCACGGCGGCGAGCTTTAAACATGTTGTAACATGCATGTTGTTTTTGGCCTTTCGGGAAATCTTTGGGAGGCCGGTGCCGTGGATGCGTCCGACAGCATGCCGAGCAGCGCCGCGCAGGAAAGAAGCTCGACACTTACACATATCGCCTCCCGAGGCCAAGTCTTGGGATCAAGACCGAAGCCTTCCCCGCGCGGGACCCGCGCCGCCGCCCAGCGCTCTGCCAGAGATGGCGTCCGCAGGGGATCTCTACACGGTGCGCTGCTCCGGGGAGATGGCACCGCTGTGGCTTGCGGCGGCAATCGCGATGGACAGCTCGACATTCCGGCCCTGGGCGCGGGCCTGAGCTACACGCAGGTTGCAGCAGGACGAGGCCGCACGTCTCGGCTCAGGGGCAACGGCGCCTCCGTCGCGTGCGGCGACAACTTGTGGGGGCAAGTGCAACTTTCCGACCCTGGGGGCGGGCCAGTTGTGCATGCACGTCTTTGCTGCACATGGCTTATTGCGAAGCGGCAGCACGGCTGCAGCCTGTGGCAGCTTTGACGAGCTCGGACACTGTGACGCTCCAGCTTTAGATTCGTGCTAGAGGTACGAGCAAGCTAGTTTAGGAGGATCATCATGTTGTTCTGTTGAGGGGTGACGGCGCTTCTGTGGCTTGCGGTTGCAATTCACGTGGGCAGTCTGACCTTCCAGCTTTAGGTGGGGGTCTAAGGTATGTGCAGGTTGCTGAAGGAGACAGGCACACGATTCTGTTCCGAAGCGATGGCACGGCTGTTTCTTGTGGAAAGTACCGAAATGACAGCGGAACCTTCCAAGTCTGTGAGAGGGTCAGCGATACGGTCGAGTCTCTGCAAATCTGTGGCGAACTGTTCTTTCATGTGACGACGGCACCGCCGTGACTTGTGGTGACAACAGTTCGAAACAGTGTGACGCGCCTCTTTTGAATGCAGGTGTAATCTATACAGCGGTCAGTGCAGGACGCGGCCATACTGTTGTGGCCAGGAAGCGATGGCACAGGAGTGGCTTCCGGCCTCAACCACAACAACCAGTGCATCCTTCCGACGTTGGCGGCAGGGTTGGCCTCTTGGTTGCCAACGCGTATACTGTAGGCATCATGGGATGGTGGTTCAAGTGGCATTAGAACGTTGTGCGGAGAGAGAGACTTTGCCACATAAGGGCAGCATTCAGCGACCGCCTCGGCATCATGCGCGCCGACTGAATGCCAGAGCACTTGCGCAAATGCGGGAACGTTCACGTGAAGAAGCCAGGCGGTGAGCTGATGCGTAGTCTGCCGGTCGAGGCGACTGTTGGAGGCATCTCTGGGCTCCGCGAGTGTGGAGCCCACGGGTTGTGCTGCTTCCCCGTGCCATTTGCTGTTCAGAGTGCCTCTTCTGCTCCCTTCCCTCCCTAGGGGGCCACATGCGAACCCTACCCCTACCCCCCACGATCTCTGGGGGGTAGGGGTAGGGTTCGCACATGGCCCCCTACTCCCCCCCTCCTCCTCGCCCTCCCTCTTTCCTCGTCCTCGTCTCTGTCCTACTCCCCGCTCGCGTGGGGAACCCGTGCGAGCCCCGCCCGCACGCGGCGGTGGGGGGCTCGCCCGCGCGAGGCTGCGCGTTGCCGTCTCTGCTTCCGCCCTGGCGTCTCCCGTTCTGTGCGGTCCTCTGTGGCACACAGGTGCTGAGACTCGCTGAGCGCATTCCACTGCTCGCACAGTGCCTACTCGCAAGCGTCCGAGCAACAGACGTCTGCTTCTATGTAATCTATCGTAGATCCCCCGCGGGGGATCCCCTTGCGAGTAGTGAATCTGTGAGTCGTGGAACGCGCTCGTCTAGAGACAGATGCCTCTGCGCTACAGGCAGGAAGAACCGTTCGAGCAGGCAGCGCAACGGTACTGGCCGACAAGTGTCGCTGGAGCTGACGTGACTGACTGCCCTGCGTCGAGGTGCCTCTGTCACGGGCCGCAGACGCGAGGGCCAGCTAGCCCCCTATCACTGTCGCGTCCTGCATGAGCGATGCTGCAAAAACCCTCCCGTCCCCAGTCCCCTCCCCACACGGACTCTGTCCAGCTTCGGGAATGGCTTCGAGCGGGCCTCGGCGGTTTTCCAGTCTCGGGATGCCTTCCAGCAGCTGCGCCTCGCCGAGAGCGTGCCAGGGGTGCCCGGATCGTCCCGAACGGCGTCTGAGGCCGGAGATGTGGCCCGAAGACCATTCGGATCGGGAGCAACGTAAGGGGCAGGGTTGGCTCAGGGGTTGGGGTGCGCGCCGCCACCCAGTCGCCCAATCCTCGCTGATCGGGGCCCGAGTGCCGCAACATGCCGGGCAGCGTCGGCTTTCCCCACCGGAGGCCAATCGCCGATCTATCGGCGATGCATCGTTGATTCCAGGGCAGTGTCCTTCCCCCTGGGCCAGTCCCCTATCCACCCTCGGCTCCTGCAGGTTCATTGGCCTACCTCGTTGGGGCAAGACCTGCCACACCCAGACAGGGTCCATGTCGGTCCGATCGATCCAGTTCGACATCGGGTCTGGCCAGCTCGATTCGACTTGGCCACGAAGCTTGTGAGGGGTGTGCCGACATGCGCGCGGCAGAGCCACGTGATCCCTGCCACTGGGGCCTTCGGTGGAGCCCCCTACGAAACCACGAAGCGTGTGAGTGGTGTGCTGAAGTGGGCACGGCTGCATGCAAACACCGCCGTTGGGGCCTTCGGTGGAGCCCCCAATGCGGCCATCAAGCGTATGAGGGTTGTGCCGACTTAGGCGCGGGCAGCAGCATGCGAACACAGCCATTGGGGCTTTCGGTGGAGCTCCGTATCGGTCCACGAGACATGTGAGGGGTGTGCCGAGATGAGCGCGGCAGCATGGGAACACCATCACTGGGCCTACGGTGGAGCCCCCTTCGTGGCCACGAAACGTGTGAGGGGTGTGCCGAAATGGGCGCGGCAGCACGCGAACACCGCAGCTGAGGCCTTCAGTGGAGCCTTCCTGTGTGGTGAATTCCGATGTCCTGATGTGTTTCTCGTGTTCTGTCTCCGGGGGCCCTTGCTGGGCCTGGGGACGGTGAGAAAACAGTTTGGGACGAGAAGCCGATCCTGGGGAAGGGGTCGAGACCTCGGGGGATCCGCGCTGTGACAACCCGCCGCGCGGGGAGCTCGAGAAGCGGAGGCCCCCACCTCCTCCCCCCGAAAATGATGGGCTCATTTTCCACCACCACTACCATAGGTAGGAGAGGGAGGGAGGGAGGGAGGGAGGGAGGGAGGGAGGGGTACGGCCGACCAGGAGGGGATACCGGTATCCGACCTCATACCCTTCTCTTTCTTTCATATCATCTTGTGACCTTCCAGGGCCCTCCTCCCTCCTTCTCCTCTCACTCCACTTCCTTCTCCTCCTCCTCTCCTCTCCTCCTGCCTCTCCCTGCTCCTGCTCCTCCTCCTCCTCCTGCCTCTCACTGTCACTGCTCCTGCTCCTCCTCCTCCTTCCTCCTCCTCCCCCCCTTCGCCTCCCCCTCCTTTTCTTCCTTCAGCCTGGTTTTCGGGGTCTCCAGACCTTGGGATTTTTAAAAATTTTAAAAATTTTAAAAATTTTAAAAATTTAAAACACTTTTGATTTTTAAAATTTTTAAAAAATTTAAAAGTTTGGGGGGTCCGGAGTTTCTGGGGGGTCCTGGCCGCCTGGTTTGCGGATTTCCCAGGCCCTGGGATGTTTAGAAATTTTAAAAATTTTAAAAATTTTAAAAATTTAAAACACTTTTGAATTTTTAAAATTTTTAAAATTTTTAAAAATTTAAAAGTTTGGGAGGTCCGGAGTTTCTGGGGGTCCTGGCCGCCTGGTTTGCGGATTTCCCAGGCCCTGGGATGTTTAGAAATTTTAAAAAATTTAAAAATTTTTAAAAATTTAAATCACTTTTGAATTTTTAAAATTTTTAAAATTTTTAAAAATTTAAAAGTTTGGGAGGTCCGGAGTTTCTGGGGGGTCCTGGCCGCCTGGTTTGCAGATTTCCCAGGCGACTCCCCCCCAGGCGTGTAACGGTGCAGTTTAACAGAAACGGTCTTCAAGATTTTCTGCTACCTCTGGGAGGTTGGATTGGACCCCGACTCCGAACCCAACGCCGACGACGCCGCCGCCGCCGACGACGACGACGGCGGCGGCGGCAGCGGCGGCGACGGTGGTGGCGGCGGAGGCGGCAGCGGCGGCGGCGACGACGACGACGACTACGGTCGATCGCCGGCGGTGTCCGATTCGTCCCGCGTGGCCCGGACCGCCACCGGGGACTCGAGCTGCGACCGGAAGGGCCGCTACCGGAAGGTGCGCTGTCGGCACCCCGCGGGCCGCTACCACCTCTCGTCGTCGCCGCCGCCGCCGTCGTGGTCGTCGTCGTCGTCGTCGTCGCCGTCATCGTCGTCGTCGTCGTCGCCGCCGCCGCCGCCGTCGTCGTCGTTGCGGTCGTCGTCGTTGTGGATGTCGTCGTCGTGGTCGTCGTCGTCGTCGTCGTCGTCGTCGTCGTCGTCGCGGTCGTCGTCGGCGGCGCCGTCGTCGTCGTTGCGGTCGTCGTCGTTGCGGATGTCGTCGTCGTCGTCGTCGTCGTCGTCGTCGTCGTCGTCGTCGTCGTCGTCGTCGTCGTCGTCGTCGTCGTCGTCGTCGTCGTCGTCGTCGAGGTCGTCGGCGGCGTCGTCGTCGGCGGCGGCGGTGGCGGCGACGGCGGCGCCGTCGGCGGCGGCGGTGGCGGCGACGACGGCGGCGTCGTCGTCGGCGGCGGCGGCGACGGCGACGACGACGACCACGACCACGACGACAACGACGACGGCAGGGCTCTCGGGAGAGGCATTTTAGATAGGGCGATCCCTATAAAACGGAGGGCATTTTCGATAGACCGGTCTCCCTAAAACGGGATGGAATTTTAGGGGGACCGGTCCCCCTAAAACCGGATGGAATTTTAGGGGGACCGGTTC